TATATATACACACACACATATGATTTATTATTTATGTATTTGTCCTTGAAATATAATTTTTAGAATCAATGATAGTCTTACTTTTGTCTTGTAACGACTAACTTGATATTATATATTGATCACTGATTCTTATTTAAAATAATTTATGCGATAATTTATACTTGAATCTTTATTCTTCTTCATGCAATTACTTTCGTCCGAACAAAATTTCATGCGTTGCATATACCGATAAATGTATGTGCCAAAATTCTCACCGGCTTATTATATGTCATTTTGTTATTTAAACGTATATTAGAAGATTGAAAGTAAATTGCGATGGAAAACCATCTTATTACGATATAATTATGTAGATAGTGTAATACATAATAATGCGCGCGCGCACACACATACACACACTTTAGAGCTATAGCTAATAATATAGCAAGTCTCTATATATAATGAATCTTTAAGTTCATTTTATTTTTTATCGTTGCACTAAATAACACTAAAACTTCCTTCTTGTTTATGCAAATTTTGTACATAGATATATCTGTTTCATTTGAAATGCAACGAACGAACATGAGAAAATTGTCGAAAGAAAAGAGCGGAAATATCAGTTAAAATCGCGTCAAGTGAATAAAATTTTCATCATATTTTATCTCGTCATTTAAAAATAGACGTGGAGAAGACAATTTATATCCCAAATACAAATTGCACATACTTGGATTATTGCGTGATTGAACACGTGATGATCAAACGATATAAGTTGTGAACACTAGACCTTTCTAAATTAAGTAATAGATACCGATTGCTGAACGATGAATTATTATTTTAACTTTAAAATTTTTTGTTTTGGAAAACAATTTATGACTTCAGCAGTAATCGGTAATATTCGTCATTTTGCATAACTTATATATGTAATCTAACAATAAATCTATCGACAACGTGAACGTATTTCTCATTGTCCATTCATCGCGATGTTTCATTTCTTATGTGCGTTTCGTAAGGCTATTCCAAGAAAAAACAAACTTCATTTGAATTAAACGGTAACGATAGAATAGTGTTTCTGTCTCGAATTAAAAATTTTCTACGCAGTTGGAAATTTTATCTTTTCAGAAATAAACATTCTAGATTATTGTAATATTATGATTAGAAAAATGGAAATTTTCCAGGAAATTTTAATATATCCCACATGCAAGAGAGAATGTTTATTAAAAAAAAAATATATATATAATAATCATACAATTTTAAGAATACAATTAATTAATATACAGAATCAAATGTTTTTATTTTATCATTATCACAGTAAACATAACAGATCATTGCTATAGGTCAATTATATTGAAAAAAAATACACGTAGAAAGATATAACGGTATTGATATTTTTTAATACAATTATTTCGATTGTATAAAACAGCATTTTATTTTAATTAAAAAAAAAAATAAATCCTTGCGGCGTTATTAAAAATTTCGTCAACATAAGTACGGCAAACTACGCGTATTATTTTGTTCAAATACGAAAATCGCATGGCATTCGTCATGTCTACACAGATCAATATTATCCGAATGCTCGAATACAATTAGAGAGATTTAATAAAAAGATTATCGATATATAATATCATAACACGAAATAGGCTATAGCTAATATCTCCAGAAGTCTAACACTTTCAATTGAGGAGTGTAGCGCATCACTCTTTGATCTCATTTCTTACGTTTGCCTCCAATTTGCAGCTTGTGCAATCATCCGCAATTGAAAACATTATTGAACTCCACCATTTTTGCGGTCTTCGCACTGCTTCGTAACCTAATTAAAAATCAGTAATTTAAAAACTATTGTTCATTTTTAATAATAATATCACAGATTTGTACTTACATTGCAAAATCTCGCTATTTCTTCGTTTTTGCACACGAAATCTTCGCCCCACGTGCATTTTTTAGATTCGGTAATTGATCGTGATACGCGTAAATTTATAAGTGATATTGCAAAATAGTCACTGGAAGAGCATAAAGCCATTTTGCTGCACATTTTTTCGCTATCAATATTATCTTTCAGCATATTTATTATACTGGGCCCGTAAATGTTTACCATCTTGTTGCACTGTATAAATTTAAATTTTTTAGTTTCAAGCTATATTGGTTTTTTTTTGTAAAAAAAAAAAAAAGAATTCATAAAGTAATAAGATATTACCATAGTTTGCTTATCTGCTGGTAGATACTTGCACACCTTCTTAACAATTTCTTCAATTTCAGTGTCCACTTTTGAATCACCTAATAGCTTATCAATTTGCGATATAATTGCTCGACATAAGGCACATTCAGTTATAGATTCTATAATAATAATTAAATTACGTATACATTTTCATATAATGTAAATATTTAATATTGGCAAAATTTGTAACATATAATTATTATTTCTGTACCTTGAATTTTTATCATGCTCACGGTGCAAAGACCTAATACAGTACAGGCCTCTTTAGGACTGACATCTTCTG